TGAAGTGTTAACTCCTGCCCAGTGAAGATAGACAAGTAAACCCTTGTGATGTATATGATGTATACACTTTGCATGTTAGAGATTAACACGTAATGTTTTCAAACTTTACCCACGGCTTCTCAGCTGCAGACTGAGTCCAACGAGTCCAAATGCTTGTCAGAGTCCCCAGGGTGGGCCCATGATAAGTAGCCTTACAGGAAAAGTAGGAGCTAGCGAAGTGAAGAATGTTCCAACCCAAATGATGTGTGGTTGCCAAGGAAGATGAACAAAAGAGACCACAGCAGTTTAGAAGACGTGAAAGCATTTGATTTGTGGAGCCTCACCACGAGCAGGCAGGGAATGAGCTGGAACTCTGGAGGACAACTGCAGGATCTTGAAGCCTTCACACTGATTGAAAGTCTGAACTGAATTTCCAGACTTGGAGCATTATCCATGCATAAAACACAACATTGCCTTGGCTACAGCAGCAGCATAAATGACAGAGGACAGAAATACAAGGAAATAGAAGCAGACGTTTTGTTTTAGGGAAGGATGCACATTAAATCTCCCAGTTCAATTTGACATTAGCCTCTCTTCTTGTTCACCTCCATACACCTTTTGAATTAAATAATAACATGCTCCTGGGCCAGGCCCATGTCTTTTCCCATTGCCACCTACTCCTGGGTGGGCTCAAGGTATCCTGTTCCCTCACGCAGCTGTTCCTTCCACTTCATGGAACATCAATGGCACAGGCATCCAAATGTCCAGCCAAGTGGTGTGCCAGGAAGCCTGCCACATGGGAGCTGGCACATAGCCTCAGGTCTGCAACAGAATGCACAGCTAGAAGGCTGGCTTTCACAAGTGGAGCTGAGAAGGCATTATTGTAGCCCATGCAGGATAAATAGCTATATATTAAATGGGTCTTGTTTTGTCCATGCTTTCAAACAAGTAGATCTGTCTCTTTTGGAGAATGTCTAGTCTTGGCCTTTCTCATCATGTGCTCCCTCTCCCTGTTTACTTTTCATATGGAAATGGATGAGGCACATCTGTAGGGCCTTAATATTGATCAGTAGATGTAGATAGTTATACAAGATGGGAAGGGTTGAACCCGAGTGTCTCTAGACAGATAAAGATGAACACCCTGTTGAAATGCATTTACCTGACATGTGAAAGCCATTGGAATGCTCTAAGGGTGAGTTTATTCTCATTACTATACTCACTAGGAATAAGAATTTGGAAAACGCTTAAGTAAATATCCAGCAGATTCTAGTAAACTCCGTGGTTTCTTCTGATTTCAGTCATTACAGCAACGTTTCCATGAAAGTCACTATGATGAATCCTAGGGGGCATTGAACACAGTCTGAGATGGAGTTCTCCTGATCAGAAATTAAAGGGAGAGAGTTCATGTATGTGTTTCATATGTGCATGTGTGTGCATGCATGTGGATGTGCAAACGTGTGTGTGTGTGTTATAAGAAGGTTTTTTTTGTTAAATTGTGTTGTAGAAACCATCAACAATGACCTCCTACATTGTAGAACATCAGAGAATCCAGTAGCTGCTCAGTCCACAGAGATGACTGTTTTGGCAATTCCAATCCAGTGCTGGAGCCTCAGAAGCTCCCTGGCCAGTCATTAGCATTAAGTTGATACCGAAAGGTTGGATAACAGCTGAAGTGATAGAGACACTCAGAACAGAAAAGAAAACAGACAAGGGACACTGCTTTTCCCTAGGGTCTGTCTGAGAGCAGGTCTTGCCGCCCTCCCTCCCCACCCCCCAACGAATGCTCTCTGGAAACACTCTCACAGACACACTCAGGTTTGTGTCTCATTTGTTCTAAATCACATTCGCTCACCAAGAACAAGCATCTAGATAAAATGACCATGAGTGTATTACTGACTAATTAGAGCATGTATCGTTAGCTATAAATCAAAGAAATATCATAATACTGTATGTGGAAGACATCCATTAAAAAATTATTATTGTCTCTAAGAGAATACAAGGATAAGAACTTATCCTCTTTGACTCATGCCCAGTGAAGCCAGAATAGAAACTGGTGAGGCAGCTTCATGAAGTGCACAGCTGGAGCATCCCAAGGCCCAGGGAGCTCCATCCTCTCAGAGCTGTTACCTGCTCATGTGCACATTGTGTTGAGGGACTCAGACTAGTCTGTACCAAAAAGCTATTTCTCATTTGAGGAATCCTGAAATGACAAACACAGACAATTTTCTTCTCTTTTCAGTTTGGAATAGTCCTCCTTGAGTTCAACTCTCCTTAGGCAGTAGAGGGAAAAACATCAAAAAATGTTTTGATTTTAAAGGGCGATGGCCAGATGTGGTTTAAGGGGTGCTGCAATTGTCTGGGTCCTTTCTGGTTGTTGTAGCATCCTCCCAATGGGTCCTGCTCCATCAAAGGCAGGGGCCAGGTAGCATTTGCACAACCCAGCCTTTTTTAAATAAGTTCATACAGGCAGGCAGGCAGGCAAAGGCAATTTATATTCAAGGACCTCACTAAGGTAAAATGCCCCAGTCAGAGAATAGCATTGTATACCCTAGGCATAAATTTAGGGATACCCACCTCTACCTAAACTAACAGTACCTACCTCTATTGCATCTGTTCTTTACTTCCAAGGTTCTGTTTCTTGCTTGTTTTCCAGGATTAAAGGTCAAGGGAACCAATAAATAATATGCATACTGACTCATTTAATAGAGAAAGTAAAAAACTGAACTGGACAATATATCTTATATCAATGGGCAAATGAGCTTGCTAACGCTGCTCCTTAGAACTTCAGTGAAGCTGAGGTCACTCTTGGCAGTTCTCTCCATACCAACAGGGTAATATTAGCACGAATAAAGCTGCAGGGGAGGGCACAGCATTGTTCGCCCTTCCTTGTGGTGGCACACCTCCAAGGGAAAGAAAGAAGCTCAGCACGCTGCCCTTGTTTTCTTAAGTTACATCCCTTCTCCGAACCAAGGGGGGAACCAGAGAAGTGGCAATAATTAATGTCCTTCTGTTGGACCAAAACATCATGATTGGGTATCTTCAAACTAGCAACAAACAAGAGACAGCTTCCTAGCCTTTTCGCTATTGAAAACAAAACTGCAGTGTAAATCCTTACTGCCATTTGCATAACCTCATACGAACGAATGGCAGGAGAGCATCTGTTCAATACACCTAGGAGAGGAGTATCATGACCTGTATACTACTTTTAAATTGTTTTTTGTAGTGATTGGGCCAAACCACATGGGGACCATTAGAATACAAGCCCCTATTGATCTCCATTCTTACAAGGGCCTGACATTACAAAAGACAAACACATTCATACTTGTCTACCCCCATACACACACACACATCATCATCATCATCTGCTGGATATAAAATATTATCTCAATACATGACAGTTTGCATTTGTATATCTGCAAGGATTTGAATTCATTTCATACTTGCTAGTCATGCAGTGAGATTTTTCTCATTCCTATTTTTTATTACACTTCTATCTTTATTTGACTCCTTACTGATTTGTAGAGAATTTTTTCCCCAATTTTTCAAAACTAAGACTAGTTTGGGATATCACAAATCACTTCCTTATTTTCCCTATATTATTGCATTTTTGGATTTTTTGAGGGGAGTTGGGACCAGAGATCTATCTTCCTGATGGCTCACTCTTCTTTTCTATACCAAATATCCTGTTTAATCCTCCAATCAAAAGTTAACTCTCAGACAGATGATATTGTAGGAAGAAGAAAAGAAGAACCTTATATCGAACACACTGCCTAGCAACCATCTGCATCAACATTCTTCTGTAACATTCCCTCCTAGCTACAAGCCCTGGATTCTGCTCCTCTCTCTAACCACACACACACACACACACACACACACACACACACACACAGAGAGACAGAGAGAGAGACAGAGACAGACAGAGACAGACAGAGACAGAGACAGAGAGAGACACAGAGAGAGAGAATCTCCTAATCTTTAATTCTCTAAGGAATGTATGTCTGCCCCTAATTCATATCAACCATTCTAAAAAGCTGTCTTGAAGCTAAACCCTTAGAAGGCAATTTCACATCTATCTCCAAACATCTCAAAGCACTGACACATCAAAAGAGAGAGGCGTGTTGCCGTGAAGCCGACAGGACACTTGTTTGGCACTGAACACTGAAGAAACTGCATTGTTAAAAGGGGGAAAGTGTCCAGCCTCTTACCTGGCCATCTTGGCTGAAACATTATGCATAATTTCTGCATAATATTGAGCTTCTCCTTTCCCTTGGACAAATTTATAGATACAAGATTTAATAGTTACCTGGGGGTTGAGGGTTTTCACAAGTGCCGTCCAGGGGAAGCAGCCGTGAACATTTTCACTTGTGCATGTGGTCACAATGATGTCTAGAGTTTGTTTTTGTTATTTTTGATGGGCCCAAATAGGATTTTCAGCATCCTATGACCTCTTGAGAGATTACAGCCATCCCTCAGGATCCTTGGGGACCTCATTAATAACAAATTGTGCATGTTCTTTATGTACAATATGATGGTCTTTGCATATAACCTACATATGCCTCCCCCCATCATATCTAGATCTTAAATCATCGCTAGGTTATTTGCAAACAGTAAACACTCTAAATTCTGTGGAAATAGTTGTTAAACAGTATTGCTCAGGAAATGGTGACAAACGGGGGGAAAAAACTAGACATATCTAATATGGTTACAATTTTTTCGTTATGTTTTAAGTCAGAGATGAAACACACTGACATAGATACAGTAGGCTGACTATTCACCTAAACAAATAAGAAAACTGAGCAGGTTTGTCCCACACTAATGGGATATCTATTTACTATGCACCACATGCTATGCTAGAAACAACGTATCTTGAGTGATTTAGAAAAAGTAACTACTTGGAAAACATTTATTTGTAGTCAGGAGTAGTATTCCAATCCCAGCATTCATGATACTATATCAAGGAAATTGTCATGAATCCTGGGCTACATAGTAAGTTTCAGGCCAGTCCAGGTTGCACTGAGTAAGCTCACTTCAGTAGTACATATACTAAAATTGAAATGATACAGAGATTAGCATGGCCCCTGCACATGGACGGCACGTAAATTTTTGAAGCGTTCCATATTTTTTAACCCAGAGGTCGATGGATCAAAGCCATCCTCTGCTACCAAAATAAAATAAAATAAATAAAATAAAATAAAATAAAATAAAATAAAATAAAATAAAATAAAATAAAATAAATAGAGTTAAATTTGCAAGACAGTGGCAATAACTTAGCTGGTAAAGTACTTGTCTTACAAGCAAGGGGACCTAAATTCAATCCTTAGTACCTACCTAACAAAGTGTGATGTCTCTCCCTTGTAACCCCAGTGCTATGGAGGCAGAAATAGATACTTCAGGCTTGCTGACCAGACGGCCAAGCCTGGTGACTTCCAGGCCAATGAGAGAGCTTGTCTCAAAAAAAAATTAAGGAAGACAGCCCTTGGAAATGTACATTCAAGATTGTCCTCTGTCCTATACACAAAAGTGCATACATTTGCACATGCACACACATCCACACACTCAAACATCCCAAGATACCACATCTATTGGGGAGTGACAAACATAAACAATGTCATCAACACCTGTAGTTTGAAATGTAGCTTCCCCAAATCATTATATGCTTCTAGTACATCAGAAGAACACATAATTGTCTTAAGTGATTGCAATGGAATACTATATTTCTATTCAAATTCTAACTCAAATTTCTTAGTTTTCTGAAAGATACATTGTTCACTGCTAGAATTATTATACTCCTACCATGTGGCTCCATTATCCAGTATACTCAAATTTGATAAGGAAACAGCATGTAAATCTTTAACATTTGTTTCATTGTAAACCATCCCTACGGTTTGCTGAGAGCTCACACAACTTTGACATTGTTTAAGTAGGTAACTCTCATCGTTAACAAAGACTAGTAATAAAACAGAGGAAGAAGGCCTTAGCAATCAGAAATGTCATCTCATTTTTAATACTGACCACATAACTCTCTCTAGAGAAAACAAATTTACATGGAAGTTATGGAGAGAGGAAAAAAATGGGAAGCATTACAAACAAAACTAATGACAAATGTACAGAAATAAAAAAAATATGCAGAAGTGGAGCAAGCGTACTCTGCTTACACACTGGTGTTTTATGTTATCTCTTTTACCCCAGAACTTTTTAGATTTATTTCTTCAACTCCTCCCCAGCACCTAGCCCCTGAAATCTCAGACCACTGGAGGGCTAGAAGCTAGTTGTATATTCTAGCTTGGAGTCCCTGAGTTTTTCCAGCTCTTGTAGTTGGCAGTAATTACAAATATGCCACTCCCTCTTTGTGTGAGGAAACTTGACCTTGTTGAGCACAATTGAATCTTTATTTGATGAGTCAATGAGTCACAGCTTTGAGCCTTAGGACATCCTCAGAAACCACAATTTCCTTTGCCCCAATCCTTAGCTATAGAAGGTTTGGAACCTTCTTAAGCTTAATCCTTTCTCCAGGGTTATTTCTTGAGTATGATTCTTTCTTTTAAAAGCAGAGAAAAAAAAAAGACTGCTTAAACTACAGCCAATTTAAACTAAACATTTCATAGGACCCCCACATTGTAAAATGCTTGTAATTGGCTTCTTCCTCTTCCTTTTCTTTTTTTTTTTTTAAGTTTCTCTTAGGGTATTAGAGTCTCAGGCATCACCTTTGTTAAAGGATTAGCCTGTCTATTCTCAGCCACCAGCTTCTCTCCTAATATGGCCAGTTGCTTTGCAAAGGCCTAGACTAGCCTCAGCTATGGGTAGACTCACGCACATCCATCTTTGCTGCAAAAACTAACAGCACCGTGAGCCTATATTTCTTAGGCTTTTTAACAGAAGAAATGTTCTCATAAATATTTTGCCGTCTCCTTGGCCCTAAGCCCTTAGGTAACCAATTGAATTCAACGGACATTTATCAAACGCTAACCCACCGCAGCAAACACCTACTGTGTAGTCTCAGTATATTTCAGGAAAGTGAGAAATCAGATATCAAAGCAACTTTATGGCCCCAAAGAGCTGTGTGCCCCAGGCAAGAGTAAGGACATGGGCCCTCAGCAGCATTCACACAGTTAATTAAACAGAATATATTTGAATTATCTTACCTAGAGAATAAATTATCTTAAAAGGTCACCTATGGAATTAAGAATACTTCAAAGCTCTTTTTCTTTCTTCCACCACAACTTTCATGCTTTTAACATCTCATGATTTGAGAGTCTTCAGGCATCTCTTATTGGGTCCTTACCTTCCCTCAACCTCCTATACTCACAGATCAAATATTTCCATGCAATTGTGGTAAGAATTCATACATATAATATGTGTCTAAGAAAAAAATCTATATCCTTCCTTTTATCTCCTTTTTAATTTTTAAGTTTTGTAATGTTCTGGGTAAGAGTGTTTTACGCATGTATGTATACGTGTGCCATGGGTGTTTCTGGTCTCCACAGAGGACTAAAGAGTCACCAGATTCCCTGGAAGTAGAGTTACAGGCAATTGAGTTATAGAGTTATAGATTGCTCTCAACCATTGCATGGGTTCTGGGAATTGAACCTGGATATTCTGCAAGAGTGGCATATATTCTTAGACACTGAACCTTTTGCTTTCTTGACTCCAATCAAAAGTTTCCAGCATTCTTGAAAATTATAAACTGAGTCCATCATTGGATGAGTACTGTGACTGATAAAGCCCAGGGCCAATGTATGGACCATTCTAGCATAAAACTTAACAAGAGTTAAGAAAGGAAGCCACAGGTAATATCTCTACTTGTGAGAAATAGAGAAGCTCAGAGACAGTTTTGATCTTTGACTTTAATGTTTTCAGTTTGATAAGAATTAGTCAGGATCAGTTACATATTTTGAAGGAATACAACCTGATGTTTTTAACGTCAATGACACCCAGTGCTTATAAATGTTTATGAGGTATAGTTTGATAACTCCATATAGTAATAATGATCAAATCAAGGTAGTAGCATTCTGGCTTCCCGAACACTTATAATGTCTCTGTGCTGGAAGCTGAGTCTTCTAACCACATTGAAATGTTCAGTGAACTGTTGTCAGGCATGTTTACCTTGCGGTGGAATAATCATAATTCCTCCCTTTGTATCTGGCACCTTCTATTTGGCCAACCTCTATTTCCCACCCCCCTTGCCTTTATAGTCTCTAAAGATCACTGTGTTAGTGAACTTTCTGTTAGGTCAACTCCTACAACGTCCATAAATGAGTGAATGGAGAGGGCATCTAACTTCCCATGGCACATATTCATATAGCACAGTATTCTCTATTTCCATGCATGTCGACACAAATGACAGGTTTCCATCCTTTAACCACTGAAAACTAGGCTATTATGCAGTTAGATTACATTTTCTTTATCTATCCATCTGCCGAGGGGTACTTTAGTTAATTTCATGTCATGGTTATCATTAATGATGCTACAGCATATATGAGGATGAGGTATTTTTTCAGTGTAATAATTCTATTTATTTTGGCGATATACCTAAAGCTATAGTGATCCCAGCTCCTGATATATGCATGGTAATTCTATTTTTAGTTTTCTATACTCTGACTGGGAGTATAGAAGAGTTGCCTTCTTCACAGTCTCCCTTGGCTTTCTAAAATCAAATAGCCAGATGGCAGAATGTGGCTTTGAACCCAAGGATGTTTGAGTCTAATTTCATCATACCTTGTGCCACATGAGGGCCAGTGCTTTACCTAAACTTCAGTTTCTTCTGCATCGCCAAAATTTCATATTAGGACATTTTGGACCAGTGAACCTCTCAGGAAGGTCATTTCTTTATTTCCTTTTCTGCTGGGAAGTTTGTGATGTTTGATCTCAAATCTAGAACCTCACACACGTGACTACAATTGGTCTATGTACCCCATTCTCTTCATACTTAAGAGAAAAAAAGAGTAAATGTTCATGGTACAACATTATATAAGGATTTTTTGTGCTGTTTCCATTTAACCTTAGCCAAGATATCAAGAAGTAATCCATCTTTCCTCTTGGGCAGGAACTTCAGAACACAGTGACTCCTGGATCAAAGTGTTGTGGTACTTTTAGCATCTTTATCCTTTTCAGCTGTTACAACAAAATAATGTAGACTGGATAGATTGAAAACGTCGTGTGTGTATTTTTCACATTTCTGAAGGCAAAAATTAAGGGGCTGCAGATTGAGAATCTGCTTTGTATGCATGGATGTAAATGTCATGTCTTAGTGTATATCTTCTGACAGTGGCAGGGCAAACAAGTTCATTTGCATCTGTCCTATAAATGCATCATTCCTGCTCCCAAAGGTGTTGACCGTGTAACCTGGTTGTCTCCCAAAGACCCCTTCAATACCAGAAGAGGTTAAGTTTTCAGCATATGATTTAAACAAATAGCATCAGGTCCAATGACAGAGGCCTTCGGAGTTCATATTCCAAGATAATAAAATAGAAATTCACCCCTTCTCTCTGCAAAGAGAGATGACCCATTAACTCATCCATAAACCCCAAGTTTCTTCATTTCATGACCTCTCCTCTCTAGTGTGTCAACTGAACCCCACATTCAAGTGACTTAAAGGCCCTATCTGGATGATTCATGAGAAAGCAGGTATTATATGGTTTGTACCTCATCATACATGCACATCCCTCCCTCATATACATGCTTGCATACAAACTCACAGTCATTATAGCCGGCTAGCTCACAGCTTCCAAGAAAAGAAATATCTCTGACTTATCACAAGTTAGACTTCATATTTGCTGTATACTGGACTACGAGGGTAAAGGTTGGGGGAGGGGGTGGTAATATGGATTCTTATGCTTAAGTTTTGTCTGCAGAAACCTTAAGGTCAGAGGCCACAAAGATGAATGTGAGACATCAGACATGGGTAGGGTGATGTCTCCCAGGACTGAGGTTCTGTTGGGGCTCTCATCCCTGAGCAACAAGATGACATTCTAAACAAAAGCCATATACCTGTGGTACATTAAAACAGAAAAAAATGGTACATACAAATTTGAAAAAAAAAAAGTCATTTACACTAAGCTTCTTGCAAATTCATAGGACCCAAGTTGGGACAGGAAGTATTGAGAAGACAAGGTGACTGTAAGTG